TTGCACACCATCATTTTGAGCCCCTTGAAGTGTGCAAAAATAACTCAGACGTGTTTGCTTCAAAGGGAGCAAATTTTGGGATTAGGGCTGTTGAGAAAAGGGGGCTAGCTTCCTGCCAGTAATGAAAGGTGCTGACTGTGAACAGATGAACATTAAATTATAAAACAAGAAACATGTTACTGATAAGCTGAGGTAGCTTGAGTCATCCCGAACTTGTGTGAACAAGGAATTGTTTCATATTTGCATGTCTTGCAGCTTCGCCAGCAGAATCTGATTCTATTTTTTTGTTGCTTCATTGTTTCCAGTTTGTGAAAAAACAAGTGACCACATGTTCCCTAGAGGGACAAGAGGAACCACTTGTTATTTTCCTTCTTAATGTAGGATCACATTCAAGGAAAACCAGCGACGCCTCCAAGTAACCATTGCAACAAATCAGTGACAGAGAACGTCTCGTTTTCAGTCTCACTGAGAGACAATGGCTCATAAAAACTGAGAGGAGAGAAAAAGTCACATCTCTAATCCCCAACCATGTTTAAAAAGCATGGCTAATATTAATGGTAACACATAATTTAGTCATTCTGAGACAGGAAAAATAATTTTTTTCTGTTCCCTTAAGCTTTTGAACTGGATTTTTTTTTCTCCTCCTTTAGATTAAACCAAGTTACACATGACTACTGAAAGTCATTTTATATACACTACAAAAAAACAAAGTCTTACAAAGTATTTATGCTTCGTTTCTAGTGCAAATATCTTAGTACACTCGACATGAGACGAAACTAAGTTAAAAGTAACTTTTCAGTAAAATAAACACGCTTGTTTCAAGTAAATAATCCTTGAATAAAGATTAATAAAGTACTACCTTCACTTTTAGATTATTTCACTTATAAAATGGGGAAAATGTGTTGTTATAAGTGACATAATCTGCAACAATATTAATTTGTTATTGACTTAAAAGAAGTTCCTATATCTTGCTGAAAAGTTAGTACTGTAATATAACACAGTACTATAAAATTTGCACTAGAAACTGAACAAGAAATACTTGGTAAGATTGTGTTTTTCAGTGTACTTAGAAAACTACGAAAAAACTCAGAAAGATGTTGCATGATTGATTGCCAACAGCAAATGTTGATATATTTGTTAATTTTACAGAAATGAGGTTTACTTTATGTCTTATTTGTTATTAATAATCACATTGTTTCAAATTGATTAAAGAGGTTTAATAAATACTATTTAAAAGTTTATTTCTTTTTATCTGTTTATTTCAAACACAACAGAAATATAATGTGGATCAAAATGAGCAATATGTAACACAGTTACCGAAAATATAACTGAAGCTTCATCTGTCACCGGATACAAGCAGATGTCCACTAAGAACGATCATCCTTCAGTTTCTCCTGATGTTTGATTGTCTGCAGCTTATATTCTAGTAATGAACTTAACTTTCATTGTATCAAAGTCAAGATGCTAAGAAGGTTACCTACTGCAGGTAAGATACTGACTGCTCTTAGTGGAGCTGCCCCTTTAAGTTAACTACATTCAGAGAGAAAGAAATGGCTGCATTCATATAATGCCTTTCTATTCTTGTTGACCACTCGACGCTTTACAACACAAACCACAACAACCCCAGTGGCACACATATGAATGCATCGTTTTTTACTCAATGCACCGTGTACATTTCTGTTCCAACGCTCAGCGACCGCATAAGAAGCAATATCATGAAGGGAAAGATTGGGCCGCTTCTTTAATTTTTAAATTGAATTATAACTGCATACAATAGGATACAACAAGATTGAGTAACCTTTGGCGTTATTGGGTTCCCTTTTTTTAATCAGGATAAATAAGACATTGGAATAATTTACCAAACTTCAGGACAGCGCAAATGTTAGGTATCTCCTGCTGACCTGGAGGATATGAAAGAATTTTCTTTTATTTCACTTTTTTGGGTAAAATGTTTTGAGTAACATTTACTCAAAATCAGACTTGAGTGCCATCCTGCCCAGCTATGGTTAACAAGATGTGTATTAATTAGTGGCTGGGCAGAAAGAAAACTAATTACACCATAAAAAATGTAAAAAATTTTTGACTACCAAAATTCTGACAATTTTGTTGATTTCAATCAAATCTTGCCTGTTTAGATTGTAGTTGAGCAGATAAAAATGTTTAAAAAACACACAAGAATTTTATTTAAATTTATTATAATTATTATTATTATTATTATTGTTGTTTTTGTTGGTTATTTTGCTGAGCTGACAGAAAAAAAACAATTTGTATGCTCATTTTACATCTTCGTTGTTCTTTGCACAATCATTTGCACATTGTTTTGTAAATAGGATTTTGTAAAATCAGGCATATTTTGTAAATTTTTAAAATGATCGTGTTGATTAGAAAAATAGAAAAAATAAAAACATTATTCTACTCAATTGCAAATTTCTTTGAAACTTTTTTCAGTAACTGTACAGAATTGTTCCTTATGTTGTAACTTTGACCTCACAATACAGTGATTTTTTTTCTTCATATTTTGCCTTTGTGTGAATCAGCAAGCAATTCCTCCACTGAGAGAAAATAAATGATATCTCTATTCTAAAAAGTCAAAAGTTAGATTTGAGAATCTCTCCTCCCATAGGTTTCCTTTGGAGTCTAAATGTAGACAAAGCAAGCTGTTTAAGTTGATTAAAATAGACAACCAAAGGCTGAATTAGAATGTCTTTTTAGTCTAAATTTTGATGGAGAATGTGAGCTAAAAAAAAAAAGTCATGTTTTATTGAATCTTTTGAGCAAAATGAGGGCAACGACTGGCTGACCTGACAAGAGCAAAAAATAAAAAAAGGGAAGTCCATCCGTATCCAGTGTTTGGAGAGCAATTAAACAATGCAATGAAAAGCTCACAGTCTTCTAGGAATAACTTTTATTGTCTGGATAATGACATACATATCAAGGGTTTGTTTGAAAAATATCAAACCAAAGCAGAAATTTCATTTTTAGGAAGAAGCTTGTGCTGAAGGGAAGTGCTACATTCTAGCATAAAACCCATTCAGTCTGGTGACGAAGAATTAACTGGTTCAACTTAGTTGTTGCAGCATCGGTGCCAGGAAAGGAAGGTGGAACAATAATTTATGAAATATAACTGGATTTCATGAAAAAAAAAATCATTCAGAAAATCATGTTTTTGCAATACGTTTTGTAAATAAACTGCAACAACAATATCTGAGAACAGTATGAGGCAAACAATTAATCGACTTATTAGTAGTTTATTAGATTAAAATTAGTTCCAAACAATTTACTAATAACGTCAGCTCAGTCCTTCAGTTAGTATTTTATTTTGACCGCCGTCCAGCAGAGGGCGCCGCTGGTCATCCGTAAGCGGAGCCGTTGAAAAAGAAACAAATATGGCGGCGGAGAAACATCATATAATATAAGTTTATATTATGTCTATGGGAGAAACGGTCCGGCGGGGAGTGCAAGATGCGCGTTTACAGTTCTGTTTTGAAATATAAACAATCGACAAGCTCCTTAAGTTGTCACTTAAATATTTACTCAAGAAACTGTTAAGATATTTTTGGCTTACTTCTTTTGTTAAATTATGAAAAACTCAGTACTTTATGTTATGGAAAAACGGTTGACAGTCTTGATTCAAGAGAAAATTCGTTTTTTTAAGAAAATTGCCCTCATAGATTAAGCGTTAGCCGATCAGTAAAATTGATCAACTTTAGATTAACTCACGAACTGATAACTTATCTCCCTAGATTCTCTATAAAATCGAGATCAGTCACTCAAGTTAGTTTAATTCTTGACTTGGAGCATTCACCCTTCCCGTACATGACGATGGTAGATAATAGTTGTGTCATTGACTTCACAGTCAAACTAACAAAATCCACCTATTAGTCCATATATTTTAATTTTGTGAATAAACTGAATTAGGGATTTAGTCTGTTAATTAAGTTGCTAATTAAAGATTATTAATTAGCTTTAATTACAACCATCAAAGTTAACAAAAAAAAAACCTGAAAATATAAAAATCTGTGTCTCAGTTTTTGAACGACATTACTGAAATTAATGCCGTTCAAAAATCTTCTTTGATAAAGTAAATGTTTCCAGGGTTTGGTGGCAAAAAATGTAATCTGAAAATATTTGTTTTTGCAAAGTAACCCAGATTACTCTCCTCATCTTTTAAAAACTTAAATTTACACAAAATATTTGGAGATTGCTTGTTGGATCATTGATCTGCAGTGCCCATGTTAAGAAAAAAAAAAGAACCAAAGCTTTATTCTGTTGAATGTTTTTAATAAGTTTTGACCAACAATTGAGCTCCAAAACAGAAAAATAAAATCTATAAGTCTTTAGCTACACATGTAATACTCCTCGGTAGGATAGGTTCACTTTTCTTCGCTTAATTATGGGATTTATTAGCAAAAAGAAAAATACAGCCACACCTTCCTCTCAACATATACATACAGTTTTCCAGGGTCTCTGTCCTGCTGGCCACAGTAACATCCAAGTTACTTAGAGTAAAGAGTAAAACTTACTGAAACAAGAAGACAAATACATGATTTATTTACTGTACTGACTGTGGAGATGTGGCATCAGTGACAATGATAAACCATTTCAACATCAAACACTGCAAAAACACAAAATCCTACCTAGTACTTTCGTCTAGTTTCTAATGTGTGAAATAAGAAAACTAAATTACAAGTAACTTTTCAGCATATAGGAGCTTGTTTTAAGTCAATATTTCATTAATATTGTTAAAAAGTACTATTCCACTTATTACATGGAAAGAATAAATTAAATAACCTGTCAGAGGAAATAGTACTTTTTTAAAATCAATATTAAAGAATTATTAACCTAAAACAAACTCCTATAACTTGCTGAAAATTTACTTTTAAGTTTGTTCTGTCTTATTTCAAGTGTTTTAAGAAACTAAACCAAAACTTTTCAGTAAAAGTTTTTGTTTTTGTAGTGCGGCAATTGTTTAAAGCAGAAAGGGGGACACAAACTAAACCCTCTTTCACAAAGCTTTGTTTTTATTTCCTGTGGTTCCAGACGGGATTAAAAATACAAAAATGGAAACAACGTAGAAGCACAAAACAAGTCATAATGATCAATTTAAAAGACAGAAAGTGTACTTGCAGACAGGTCACAAACTAAAACTAAAGAAAACAGGTGTGATGGTGTCTGCCACACAGACACGCTGTCCTCAGAGCTGCGCTTCCTGCCATCATCCACGATGGATGTCAAATAGGGAAACTGTTTCTGGAAGTTGCAAAGGTCCCTTCCGGTTTGCTATTCGCATGATGAGTCCAACTCTCCCGTTTTTTTCCCGTTCAGGAGTCGCGCTCCAGCTGCTCCAGCTCTTCCCGTAAGGTCTCGGCCCGGCCCAGCTTTTCCAGCTGATCCTTCGTCGGCTGCTTTATTTCCCCCGAGTCCACCTTCTGCTGCAGCTCCTCCACCTGCCGCAGCTTCTTTTTTAGGTTCTTGATCTTCTTGGCCTTTTCGGCTCCTGCTGCTGCAGCTGCTGAAGACTCATCTGGTGCCGAAACTGACGTGGTTCCCTGGGTCTTGGCGGCAGATTCGCCTCTCTCTGAGATGGACACGTTCTCCACGGCGCTGCTCACCGCATCCACCTCCGCCTCACCGTCCTGATCCTGGAGCTGCTGCTGTTTTCGTTTTTCCTTGCGTTTCATGTTGCGTTTCGCCGACTTTGACAGACCGGCCGTCTCGCTGTCCGCACAGCCGGGTATCTTTTGCTGCTGCTGTTTTGGCGGAGCTGCTTCTGATGGGCTCATGCCAGGAGGCAGGTCGGGTTTGCTCTTGAAAAACTTGACGTATTTGTTTTCATACCTGAGAAAATAAAAAACTATTTATGTGTTTTGATCATCTCTCAGTATGAAGAACTAAGTTGATCCAAGCTAGGGTTGAAATGACTAATCGGACTGATCATGATGAATTGATTATAAGCCTGGCGGGCCACCAGGCTTTACTTGCATCCCCACCAGGCTAAGTGTTGTTTGTTTATTTTAGATTTTTTTTAAATGTTTGTCTGTTTTAATTTTTTCCAATAACATTGGTATTTTCAAATTTCTTGTCAACATCAAACATTTTTAACTCAAAAACTCTAGTGCACCTACCACAGGGTTTAGCAAGTTTTCTGGGGGAAACTCTGTAAAGTCAATTAATTTAGTCATCGATAAATCACTAACTTAAGTATACAGACTTAAAAAAAGGCAATTTTCTGAAATAAACAGCCAAAACTGTTAAAAAAAATTACACACTTTGCATTTAAGATGAAAATAACCTGTATGTAAATATGTTTTATCCAGAACTCCTCAACTAGCATAGCTTTAGCTTCATGTGGTTCAAATGATGTAAGCACCTTTTGCTGTTCAATTACTAATAGGTTAATCCAATAAATAATGACCAGATTAATCACACATTGTATTCATATCAAGTCAAGCAGAAAGAGCTGAGATTTTCACGTTTATGTTAGAAGTTAGCTTTAGCTGCAGATTCATCCTTTGCTACAAATGACCAAGAGTAAACTAAAGGGAAGCTGTTATTGAATTTTAGGCAATAAAATGTTAATTTTATTGAATACATTTTTATTTGCCTCTTTTAATGCATTTCTAATATTGTACTTAAAAAAGGCTAAAGTGGTTAAATGAAAAATCTGTAGAATGTGCCATTTCTTTTATCTTTTAGTTGCAGCCCTGATCTAAACTATTTAGAAAATCATTAACAAGATCAGATCAGTCATCAGATATGATGTCTAGTAACTGTATAAAAATATCTTCTCTAAAAGGTTGGATACGAGAGGCGGTTTGTAAATAGGGCTAAAGAAAGGGAAAACATGGAATCGTGAAAAGATAAAACAGTCAATTCCTTTCATGAGGCCAAACTTACACAAAACTTCAAGGAAAAGCTTGTTGTTTATAGCAGGTCTCTGAGCCGCATCCTGCCTCATTCCTCATTCCTCATTCATAACAAACTGAGTAATTCTGGAGCTGAGACGCTGTCTGGCATCGACTCGTGTAAGAAAGCCAGCTTATAATTACTGTGTGCGTGTAAAGCAGAGAGAGGGAGGACTTGCACTTACACGGGAACCTCCTCCTGGGGGACATAACCATCCTTCACCCGTCTCGGCTTCCTCCATGTCCCATCAGGTCGCTGAGTTGCAGCTATGTATTTCCCTGAGGAAAAAAAAGGATTTAAAGGAGGCTTTGGTTGGCCCTCTAGTGGTGCTCTAAAAGTATTATCTCATTATTTTTATTAGTTTGTTCAGATCAAACTCTACTTAATATCCCAAGTAAATGTAAAATAAAATACATACTTAGAACATTTTCTCTTGTTTGAAAGCTTTTGAACCCTTTCCATCATTTTATCCAAAATAAAAAAAACCATTTGATCTTTTATTAATTTATCCTATGAATCAATATTGTATTTATTAAGGGAAAAAGCCTATCGAAACCACTTATGAAATCAAGTGAGTAAAGACACTTTTTGGAAAGATCTGTTCTGATTCCTTCCAGATTAGGGCTTAAACCGGATTAATCGTTATAAATCAATTATTGAAATAATCCTCTACTAATTTAAAAATCAAGTTATCGTTGAATAGAGTATACAGTCTTTAAAAATTTACATTTGGAGAAAAAACAACATTCTCAGAGCAGCAATTAAGCCAAAACTGTTTCCATAAACCACTTGCAGTTCACACTCTGACCACTAGGTGGAATCAAAGTAATTCTAATAGTATTAGAGCCACACTATTAACCAACAAGCTATTCATACACCCACTTGGCTGTATTCATAATGAAACAGGTATAAATTTAACTAGGTTCATTAGTCAATAAGGGGTTAATGGAATTGAACATAAATAAAATCTAATAAAGTCAGAAAATATCGTTTCAATTGACATATCATCCATTACGATAGCTGAGGGTAGTACACCGGATGCTAACTTATGCTAGCAGGCTGCAAAATAGGCTTCCATGTACGTTATAAACTCATTATTACATAAAGTTTCACTGTGAGTGGGTATATGTGTTCCTGGTAAGAGGAGGTTTACTATTCACTGTAATGTTTACATGTGTAAATTACACAGAGCGATAGCAACAAGCTAACTAGCTCTGGAGGTAGCGTGTTAGCTAGCAGGCTAAGCTAACATTGAAACCTAATATGCGAGTTAAATGCATTGATTGAAATCGAAACCTCTAAGCACTGCAGATAGAAAACACAAAATCAGGAGAGACTGTGGGTATGCTCAATGAAACTAACTTAAGTTGGACAAATGTCTACCACATGCAACAGTCTTACCAGATTCATCTGTCACATAGGGGGTTGCCATTTTGATGTAATACGCTTCTCCGCTTTCCTCAGTGGGCCTTTCAGAACCTTTTATTTTATCCCCCAGAACTTCCCTTCACTCGGCTCGATCCCGCGCTGCAGCAGCTCGACTACCGCTGTTTTAACATTTGCCTAACAGTTGTTATTTCAGTCGATGTGAGAGCGGTCATGGCAACTACAGCAGACATGTACTAAAAGCTCAGGCGGGCGGTGCAAGGTCACGAACCAAGCGAACCCTATTCTTCGGCTTCGGAAATGACGACGTGGACGGTACGGTTGCCAGATTTGGATTCTCAAATCCGTTGTTAAAGAAAAAAACTGAAAAAAATATGACAACTTATGAGAGAACTTGTAATTATTAAAGTAAATTATTTACATATTGGTATAATTATTGGGCTTTTGTGTTGTTGCAAAATTTAGCAACCAAAAATGTTATCAATGAACGTTTTCATAGTAACAAGTACTATGAAAATCATTCTTTCTTGCTTTCAAATCATTGTGTTTTTTTATTTTCACTTTATTTTAATATAATTTATTAATCACTATCATTTTTTCTCTTTGCAAAATAAATGTGGCTGCATTTCAAATTTGAATGTTGCAGCAAGTTATGTCCTTCTTTTTGTAGACTTTGGTTCTCTGATTTGTGTGTTTAGACAAAACATGCTGTTCCCTCCAGTTTTCTCCAGTTTTGGATGCAGTACAGCTGAAAGGATTATTGCTCCTACTTTTCTACTTTCGGATTGCTGTTATGATACGTAACCGTGGTAACAGCATATTGTTTTTACTGACTGGGAGCAGCTAATTAGCATATTAAAAGCTCAAATAATACCTGAACTGCAACACCAAATTCCAGAGCAGTTGAAAAGGAAGCTTCATTGATGCAGAGCAGGACCAAAGAACAGAGGAAGAAGGAAACTAAAACAACTTCTTTACACAGAGATCTAGGACATGTTATTGTAAAATATCTCTGCAGACCAGAACTTGAGCTGCTGGTTTGTAATGACCGTCATGAAACTGTCATACAGCAGTATTCAGTCAGAGGCCTCTTCATCTTCATTGCAAGACTGACTGTCAAAAGTCTTCAAATACAAAAAGTATTTGAAGACTTTTAAAGGATTTGTTGAAACATTTAATTCCCCCATTGGGATCATTTGGATTTTATATAATTGGATCAATTTTATTTTATATTTCCATACATGAATTGGACCTGCTTGCTTTGTAAATGTGCAATTTTAAAATTACATTTTTAAAAATGTTTCTTTGAAAGGCGCAATATAGACAAACTTAATTACTTAGAGTTGACTTGTTATATTTACTCAGTTCAAATACTTGAGTAATATTTTGGGGGAAAATGTACTTTTAGGAGTATTTTTAATAGAGTAATTTTATTACGAAATATAGGTACTCTTACTTGAGTAAAATTTCCAGATTTTCATCCACTGTAAATAATGTCACTGAATGTAGGACAAACAGAAACAGACACACACCTGCAGTTTTTGTCCGTTTCATAAGCTTTATATTGAAAGAAATTGATTAGGGATAACGTTTATTTTTACCTGATTTTTCTATTTATATTTATTCTTTTCATTTTGGTCTTTAAAATATCAAAATTTCCACATAGCTTGATATTTTAAGTCCAATGTAATTTTTAAACATAAATGATTGATGTTTTGACCATTTACTCAGTACTTTTACCAAATACTTTTTTTTACTCTTACTCGAGTAATTTCTTGGACGGCTATTTTTTACTTTTATTTGAGTAAAAATATGTCCAGGTAGTGCTACTTTTACATACAATCTTTGAATACAATACACACGTCCGCCACTCCTCAGAGTATTAAAAGGGGGTTGTCTGCCTCCAACCTGGCAACCGCGAAGCCTAGCTGGAGGAAAATATTGGCAACAGCAGCAGACTGCTTGGCTTTATAGACGGCTGGCTGCTGTGGAAACTGCAGTAAGCTCTTTCCAGAAGCTACCATCCACTTCGCTGCCAACACCAGGTAGGTGTTTGGTATCTTTGAGCTCTTAACATAGTTTGCTTTTTTTTACTTAAGTAAAGCAGACAAATACTTAGCTTAGCAGCTGCGTCTCTCTCTCTGTCTTTTTTTTGTAATGGCAGAATTGATTATCTCACTGTTAGCCTTTCAGCACAGACTGCTAGCTAATGTTAGCTAATGCTCTGTTTAAAGGTGAAAGAAATGATTTCTATCGAGTGCTGCGAGTTGCAGTCAGTGGTTTTTTGTCCTGGAAAGCTTACAATGGGATAAATTACCAGTTGGTGATATTGAGTTTCACCGAGCTAGTCATAAAACGTTAGGTAATATTTGCAGGCTAACGGTAACCTACGGACTTTAGTGATGAGGGAGCTCTGGAATAAAGGCTCCCTGTAGTGGTCCAAGTTAAATCCGGTCCAATTCAGGTAAAAATAAAACAAAAACTTCAGTGTTGGGGAGAATTATAGAGGCTGTGGGGTGTATAGTGGGTGAAAAGTGGGTGATTTCACACCTCCCAGCAGAGAGGGCTGTGTGGTTAGGAGATGGTCAGTCTTTGTCGCGAAGCTGCTTCCACAAAAGATGATTTCTGTGTTAGAAAAGCGACATCGTCTGGGTTCGTTTCACGGCAGACAAGCTAGAAAAACATACGGACGTGAATACGGAGGAAGGATTTCAATAAAAACATTGCATTGAATGTTTGGAGCTGCAGAATGAGATGAATTGTTCTCTACAGGCTTTACACTTCCTCTTTTTTATTGACTTGATTGATTATCTACCTGGACTGGACCCATCAGATAAATTAATTTGAATAGTTAATGACTCTCCGCAATGTAGGGTAGTTCTGGTTCATGTTGTGTAATCTCTGACTTGACTGAAGAAGTGATTTCCTTTTATGTTTTTGAGATGCACTGATCAAGCGTTGCAATCTCGTTTTGATTTTTCTAAGATCTGAACAGCTGATTCTAATATTAACCAGATTTTTCTTTCTAAAAACTGTAACAGATTAAAAGGAAAACGTGTAGTAGTTCGGAATATTATAGAAAATGTAGGAAATTTAAATAACTATTCCCATTTACACACCAAAATGCAAACCTTTAACAGTTATCTGGTCAGTAATTAAAACGTGCATTCTGTTTTTAGGTGTTTATAGATTTAATGCAACTTATAAAAATCATTTCATTTTCCCAAATCATATTAAGGGAAAAATATTCCAGTTCTTACTTACAGCTTTTCTCGTAGTTTTTTTAATGCTTTTTGAGTTTATTCAATCTAAATATTAATATTTTTTAAAATGTATATTTTTCAACAATTTTGAAAGCTTATGAGTGTCCATTTAAGCTGGACACTCATAACCAGAATTTAAAAGATTTAAATATGTAACATGCTTAATTATTGTTAAAAAAAAATTGGGACTTGAGTAAAATATTGTTTTGGTATTTTTTCATTACTCATCGTAGAAGCGTAGTAGTGCTCTTCCATATTTTATATAGAAGTCCACTGAAACCGGGATTTTCTATTGCCAAAGTCCTAGAAAATTACAAATTAGAGTTGCCAATAAAGATAAAGTTCCTCCTATCATAAAGGTGAGAGGTGCTTGTTTAAAATGAGGGCTAAAAAAGTCAGCCAATATAGGTTTATTTTATTTTATTTTTTAAAATAAAAATGGGAAAAAAATATATAGCAACCAATATATGATCTTAAATGTAAATTATTTTTATTTTTCTATGTGAGAATTTCATATGAATTTGCAATGTTTATATATATATATATATATGTGTGTGTGTATATGTTTTTATTTTATAATATCAGGGATTTAAGGATTTATGCATCATTATGTTGGTTCAAACTCGCATTTTCATAATCTATAGGAGAAACATAATTAGCGTTTTATCGTTGAATAAATTGGCCAACAAACTCTGAAGTCTGATTTATGTGAGGGTGTAGTTAAGTTTCATTTGTGTAGTTTTACAGTTTCCTCCAGGCAGACGATCCCTGCCAGTTACTCATAAAAAAAATATTTAAAAACGTCAACATTGTATCCAGAACCGGGTCAAACTGCAACAGATTATGTTGCTGCAACATTTAATAAACAACGTCTTCATGCAAACAATCTCATTGGTTTTTAAACAGTTTTTATTTCCTCTTCAAATCTGCATGTCACTCACTCTTAAAGCCTTTTGTTTAATTTGTTTTTGTTTAATCCGAATGTTTTCTTTCTTCTTCTTTTTTTTTTTTTTAAACACGAGTGCACCTGGTTTGCTTGAATATTCAAACACCATCCCTCTTGATAAACAGGATGCATCCTAGTGCTGGCATGAGCGGCGGCTGCTGTGTCATTTGTTGTTTGTGCTTACGTGGGTCTGACGTCTGAAGGTGCGGTGGAACCGGGACCGTGACATGCCAGCTCCTCGTGAAGAAGGTGTTGGTTTGCTCCGCTCCTTCAAAAGTTTCCCTTTCAAGAGAAAAAGAAACTTAAAGAGGGGAAACGGCTGGCCTGCAAACTGGTTCCAGATTTCCAGATGTCTGGTTTAGAGCATCAGAAAGGCCAAGATGGACATCAAGTTAAAAAGTGGAAAATAATCTTCTTCCTTTTCTGTTTTTTTTTTTTTTTTTTTTTATCCCATCAAAATTAAGTAACACTTTGAGTTTCTGGTCTCTCCTAATCTAACCAGCTGTTTCACATACAGTGAAACAGAGTTGTAAAACGGTCCAAAGGTCAAAAAGCTTTCTTTTTTTTTTTTAAGATAGCAGTCCTCTTGATTAGACATTCCTGAACTCCTGGAGCTGGTTTATTAAATTTTCTGATCATCTGTTAATTTCCCAGATGTGTTAAACGGATCAAACGTCTGGGACTTTAAAGGTGAGGGTTCTGACCCGACGGGTCGTCTTTGTTATCATGAATCCTGCAGTGAACGGGGGGAAAAAATCCTTCAGAGATTTGATTCTACTGACTCTTCTCTGGAAATGAAATGCAGCGGTTCTGCCAAGGACGTTATTAAGGACAGACTTTCTCAAGACAGACAATAATTCATTGAAATCTGGTTTTCATTTATGCGTCATTGCCAGAGGAAATGGATTTCTATTTATTTTTTTATTTTGCATTTAGTTTGCAGATCCTACAGAAGTGGTTATTTCTGCTGCATTTATATTTATGTATTTATCAGATTAACTGTCTTTTCTTGAATTTTTTTCCTTTCCAACAGGTTGGATCAAGTCGACTGCTGGAAGGGAAAATCTGTCTTTGCCCAAGTGGAGACGTTCTGGATGTGAACCTTGTTCTTCCACTTTGCCTGCCAGTTGGAAACCTTATTTGGGATCTCCTTATATCAAGAGCTACCCTCAGTCTGAACACTAGGATAAATATTATACAAAAAGGGTTAAATCTCGGTTTTACTCTGATTCTTCTGCATGACGATGATGGCGAAGAAAAACAGTCTGAAGGGTACGTACCGGCGTTTGTCTTGTAAATGTCTTTCTGGTGAAACTAACTTTCGAGCTCAGCAGTTCGGTTGTGTTTGTGAATTTCCTTAGGGTCAAATGATGCAGCCGCTCTCCTTTCAGAGAATCTGAGCTTTGAGTGTTTACACCGACATCGACGTGTTTTCATCGCACGAGAAAGACGGCTTGACTGCAACTCAGCAGTTTCCATCTTTTAATGGTCGTAGATTAGCTTTGGACTTTGCTCGTCGGTCTTAATTTTCTGCTCACATCTTCATAGGTTTTCTTTTCTTCGACTCACTGTTTTGTGGGTTTTATAAACTGATTCTGCAGACCTCGCGGTTGGTCTTCTCCAGCTCCATTTATGTATTTCTTTGAGTCATTTGAATCGGAGTCTGATTCCAAACCATTCACGCACAAAAGCGCTGAAGTGCTTGCTGCTTGTGCTGCTAGCTCAAGTGTTTGTGCTTAAATGCCTCAACAAAAAGTCCTTCCACCTCCGCGGTTCAAAGAGGTTTGCATCCTTATTTTACGGAAATTGTATGCACGTATGTGTGCACGTAAAAAGAAACCTATTTTCCAAATAATCCACAGCTGTGATGTGATTAGGATTCATGTGTAGCATATTTTTTCAGGAGATCTCTGCAGAGATATCTGGGGCTTCTTTTGTTTTGCAAATTATGTTCTTCGGTGGTTTGCAAATGTGGGTCAAGGCCTGGACTGATTGCCTTGTTTTTCTTTTCTTCTTTATAGATACATCTGGTGTGGTGTTTGATACTCGCTCAAAAATGGTCATGTCCCAGGGAGGAATGACGGAGAGGATGAAGGACAAGGTAAGATGCAGATCTCAATAAGTTAATTTGGTAAATCGATTCAATATGTGAAACCATAAGCGTTTACTTCTGGCCTTAAAACTGGGGCTTACAGCTGATTTATGAGACAATTTAAATGATGATCATTTTATTTATGTCTGAACACTCAGACACTTCACAGGAATCAAGAAAATTACAAACACCGAGTACCCAAGAAAACGCGTCAATACAAAAAGCATAAAAAAAAGAAAAGGAAAAAACAGTATTGCATAATTTTGACCAAAAGGGTTTTTAAATACAGAAAGTATGTTCTCCACAATTATAGAAGTCTGTGTACTAGAAGAGTAAACTATGGGAGGTTTTATAAAATAATTGTGGTGTATCGTAATATTAGAAAGTTGAGTGGAAGGAAAAAGAATGGTCGCCTCATGCTGCCTTGAGAAGTTAAGATTACGAAGCGAAGTCCATCCAACGTCATTTTCTGGTAAATAAGTCAACATAGCAAAATGCAATAAATCAATCAGAATAAACAGAAACTAAAGTGTTGTACTCTATAAAAATATTATTAATTTATTTATAAATGTGCTTAACTGATCAGCAAAATCGCCTGAACTCAACATTTTATTGAATCTGTAAAGTTCTGTTTAAAGCTGCATGACGCATTTTATCAAAATCTGTCATTGGAATCGCAGAATGGGAACTGGATTTTTGTTTTTCAGCTGTTACTCATAATAATTAAACTTGGAAGCTTTTTCTTTAAAATATCTCTGTGTGAAACGAGTTTTTTAAATAAGTTTCACTTCTTAAATTAAGTTACTCTTATAAATTTACTTCTAATGTGTCGAGATGCACCTGTATTTGTGGTTAAACAGACTTGAAAGTTCTCAGATCTGCACATGTCGAGTCATGTTTGCATTTAGTTTCGCTCCGTACTTTTTTCCAAGCAGCAGAGCTGCTACAGTTAGTCAGCTATAAATGTTGCCAAAAAAAAGCAGTATGTTCTTTTTAAATAAGAGCTGCCGCACCCCTCATCTGGGAATGTTTCTGAGTTATTCAACATCCAGATATCCTGGATATTCAGCTTGAGATATGAAAGTTTGCAGTTAATGGATTCAGTGGTGTTGGGCTTCTTTCATGGAAAGGAAGAAAACCTTTAGTTTGCTCTGCTAGTAAGTGTCTCTATTTCCTCAATGTGAAGCGTTTCAGGAAGTTGGACAAATATAGTCGATGCAAATGACGACAAAAGCGTCCAATATTTAAAATTTGTCCTTCGCTGCAAGCATGCAGTGCAAGTTGCTAACTGGGCGAACTGCGAGTGGATGAAATATTTATTCATTTTGCTGTAAAATCTGAGCAGCGGGACTGAAGGTGTGTTTTTTTTCTTCACAGATCAGTGCGGTGAGGGCAGTTGTCCCCAACAAAAGCAACAATGAGATTGTGCTGGTGCTGCAGCACTTTGAGAACTGCGTCGACAAGGCGGTGCAGGCGTTCCTGGAAGGTATGAGGATGTTGCTGCTGATCTCAGAGTTCACCCGAGTAAAGGATCATCACATAAGTGCCTTTACTTTGTTTTCACACATCAAGCAAACCCGCCTGCATGTTTTCTCCTTCCTTTTTTTTTCTTTTCTGTTGCCAGCTTGTGCTGACATGTTGCCCTAATGCCTGTGAGCTGAAGCAGCCCATTTCTCTGCTTTCATCAGGCGTATCATGCTTTGAATTCAGCTGTTGAGCGTCATTTGCATGCCTTCAGTTTCGCAGGGTTAAATTTAGAAACAGGGTTGTCCTGAACGTCACACTGCTTTGTTCCTCACTGGCATCCAATAAAATTCTCAGGACGTTTTGTATTTTCAGGCGGCATTACAAGACTTTGATGCTCTGACGTGCAACTGAATGAACTAGTTGTGACCTTGATGTTCTGCTTTTTTTTGTTCTCTCCGTAGGGAGTGCAGCCGAAATCCTGAAAGAGTGGAATGTGACCAGCAAAAAGAAGGTGAGAGTAATAAAGCATGCAATTAAAATTCCTCTGAGTCAGCATGTTCATCTACCTCACAGATGCTGGTTTACATTTCCAGAGTTACATTCCTACTTACTTGTAAAATGCACTTAACTGCAGATATCCATGTCTCTACTTTATGCTGTGATTTGATCACAAGCTTCATATGAATTCTTTGAAAGTGTCTGATATTCAAACTGCAGAGTTTTGATAAAATGCAACCTACAGGGAGTTCCCGCTTGAATTTTAAGGCCTTCATCTGTCTTAAATTCATGTTTTAAGTAAGTTGGTTTTATTTTGTTTTGACAGAACTATTTACTCTTCTTTGTATTTTTCTTTTTGTCTTACGGGATTTTTCTGTCTGGCAAAAGTTTAAGTTGCATTCAAACATCTTTATTGCATTTTTGAGACAGTAAATAACTGCTAATGTACCCTATTTAGCTTTTTTTGTGTCCATCATGGGTAAGTGGAAATTTATTGCCAGTTCGTACATTTCTGTGGAAATGTAAATCTTAATTTTCAGCCATAATGATGTTTAAAAGTCTTAAATTTGAGGTGGTAAAACCTGCAGAAACCCTGAATCTAACGTTTGATTAAAAGCCTAAGTTTGAAAACCAGATATTTTCATACACCTAATAAAAAACACATGCTTTTTCTCATTAGTTGCGTTTCTGTTGGCCATATTACTACACAAATTGGAATTATGAAAATAAATTTGCTTAGTGGAAACACGGCAATTTCAAAAACTCACTTTTTTGATAAGTCGTTGCGTTAAGATGATTTGGTTTTTTATAGAAATCTGTGTATTTCACAAACCTGCAGTGGAAACACTTTTTAGCACTAGAGTCATGTGATCAACAACTGGACGTTACTACTGGTGGAAATGACAAAGAAGACGACAGGAAGTGCATGATGGTGACGCGATAAACTTATTCACGTGCAATTATTTTTAAATTGTGCTTCTCATTTAATAATAACACAGCAATTGTGAAAATGTTTTAACGACATTAGCAGAATATTGACAAAGTTTTCTCACGTTTGTAATGGAAAAGTTTTAAAATTTACCTTGAAAAGTTCTTGAATGTTGCTGTAGGTAAAAACTCCAAAAACCCAACATTTAGAGTTGGATTGAACGTGAATATTTTCGTTTACAGCCCAAGAAGAAAAAGAAGCCCAAGCCTCAGCCTGAGGTTTCCACAGAGACGCCTCAGCCGGAGGCGGCGTCGCCCGACGAGAGCAAGGACGACGAGATGAACGGCTTCCACGCCAACGGGTCGGTGATGGACGGAGAGTCTCTGGATTCGCTGAGCGAGCAGCTGGACTCTGCCTCCCTGGATGCAGCCGAGCTGGACTCTGAACCCGCTACCCCCGAAACGCCGGGTAAGAACGAACGGCGTGTCGTTTTCCTCTGAGATCTGATGGAAAAAGAAAATCAAAGGATTGGCTGATGTGAAGGGAAAATCTGAACTTTATTGAACTAAAACCACTTGAAGCTGCTGATCTTTCAGCTAAAAACCATGACTAGAGCTGGGTGATGAGGTGATTTATTTATTTTATATACAGTACAGGCCAAAAGTTTGGACACACCTTTTCATTCAAAGAGTTTTCTTCATTTTCATGACTGACATTGTATATTCACACTGAAGGTATCAAAACTATGAACACATGCGGAATTATATACTTAAGAAAAATGTGTGAAACAACTGAAAATACGCCTTATATTCTAGGTCCTTCAAAGTAGCCACCTTTTGCTTTGATTACTGCTTCGCACACACTCTGCATTCTCTTGATGAGCTTCAGTCACCTGAAATGGACTTCCAACAGTCTTGAAGGAGTTCCCAGAGATGCCTAGCACTTGTTGGCCCTTTTGCCTTCACTCTGCGGTGCAGCTCACCCCAAACCATCTCGATTGGGTTCAGGTCCGGTGACTGTGGAGGCCAGGTCATCTGGCGCAGCACCCCATCACTCTCCTTCTTGGTCAAATAGCCCTTACACAGCCTGGAGGCGTGTTTGGGGTCATTGTCCTGTTGAAAAATAAATGATGGTCCAACTAAACGCGAACTGGATGGAATAGTATGCCGCTGCAAGATGCTGTGGTAGCCATGCTGGCCCAGTATGCCTTCAAATTTGAATAAATCCCCAACAGTGTCACCAGCAAAGCACCCCCACACCATCACACCTCGTCCTTCATGCTTCACGGTGGGAACCAGGCATGTAGAGTCCATCTGTTCACCTTTTCTGTGCTGCACAAAGACACGGTGGTTGGAACCAAAGATCTCAAATTTGGACCCATCAGACCAAAGCACAGATGTCCACTGGTCTAATGTCCATTCCTTGTGTTCTTTAGCCCAAACAAGTCTCTTCTGCTTGTTGCCTGTCCTTAGCAGTGGTTTCCTAGCAGCTATTCTACCACGAAGGCCTGATTCACAGAGTCTCCTCCTAACAGTTGTTGCAGAGATGTGTCTGCTGCTAGAACTCTGTGTGGCATTGACCTGGTCTCTAATCTGAGCTGCTGTTGACCTGCGATTTCTGAGGCTGGTGACTCGGATGAACTTATCCTCCGCAGCAGAGGTGATTCCTGGTCTTCCTTTCCTGGGGCGGTGCTCATGTCAGCCAGTTTCTTTGTAGCGTTTGATGGTTTTTGCGACTGCACTTGGGGACACTTTCAAAGTTTTCCCAATTTTTCGGACTGATTGACCTTCATTTCTTAAAGTAATGATGGCCACTTGTTTTTCTTTACTTGGCTGCTTTTGTCTTGCCATAATTCAAATTCTAACACTCTATTCAGTAGGACTATCAGCTGTCTGTCCACCTGATTTCTGCACAACACAACTGATGGTCCCAACAACATTTATAAGGCAAGAAATCCCACTTATTAACCTGACGGGGCACACCTGTGAAGTGAAAACCATTTCAGGTGACAACCTCTTGAAACTCATCAAGAGAATGCAGGGTGTGCAAAGCAGTAATCACAGCAAAAGGTTGCTACTTTGAAGAAACGAGAATCTAAGGCGTATTTTCAGTTGTTTTACACTTTTTTGTTTAGCACATATTTCCACATGTGTTAATTCATAGTTTCGATGCCTTCAGTGTGAATCTACAATGTCAATAGTCATGAAGATGAAGGAAACTCATTGAATGTGTCCAGACTTTTGGTCTGTACTGTATTTATTACATTTTCTGTTTTTTGAAGATTTAATATTTGGAAACTGGGATTTTGTCCCCCTCAGTAATCCACTCCCTGTTTCCATAGTTCAGAGAACCACAATGTCTTTTTGTTTTACAGCTTCTATTCATTTCAACTGGCAGAAGGAATGACTGTAATAAAAACCCTTTTTATTTAACACATTCTCTGTCATTTTTGTTTTCTTTTCTT